TCTTTACTTCAAACAGTAGTCTTAATCTAGATATTAGCCTCCACCTACATCTCGAAGTATCACACATATCCCTAATCTAAGATCCCGTTTGATGACCCTTATTTACAGCTTATCGTACATTAAAGGAGAATATATTAAACTAAGGATGTTTTTAATTGGATCGATTGTTTTTTATTTGGTCTGATCTAGTAAATGACTGGTCTTTGTATATTTAATAACTCTCGAATTCTGGTCTGGTCTAGTCTGCTTAAGTATGGTCTGCCCTGATCCGTTTAAGTCTGATTTGATCTAGTCTAGTTTGACTTGGTTTGAAGCTGAAAACAATCCAAGTAAAAAAACAACTTAAATATGAGATTTTGCTCTATAAATGGCCACAATTAAACACAATTCATGAAAAATACATTCATATTGTTAAAATAAGATGAACTTTTTCTTTGGAGGAATAAAATGAACTTTACGTACCAACATTGTTTGAACATAAATTTAGGGCGAATTTTACATAAACAATTCAATTATTTATGTATTTTATAAAAATAATCCCTGCTGGAAACATTCTAAAAAGTGTAAAAAATAAGATTATAAAAACAGCAATACTTGTTTTACATATGGAATACATGTACCTTAAGTTAATTTATACTTCGTAATAGCTTTTTAATTGAAGTTAAATATCTTATTAATTGAATTAAAAAAAAATTGCTCTGAATTGATTTGATCTAATATGGCCTGATCTAATCTGGTCTGTTTACCTTTGATCTTGTCTAAATTAGTTTGGTCTGGTAAATATCTGATATATGGATATTGAGAAAATTATACATAAATAATGTATAAAACTTTGTTGGATTCTAATCGATCACGACAAAATTTTCATAATTCATAATAGCATTTTAAAAATCTATAAATAGAACATTTCAGAGAGACAATTATGAAAAGTTTTTCCATGTGTCATCTTCAAAAAGTAATATGTAGTTCAAATAATTATTGGAAAAGAAATATTAAATACAGAGTATAATTTTTTTAAACTGCTATACTTCTTTTACATTTGGAATACATGTATCCAAATTTGATTTATAATAGCTTTTATTACTTATTGCATATCACACCATGTGTGTGTGTGTGTTACAAAGAATTGTTCAAGATATTATTCCTCACTTTTCACATGATAATAAAATAATAGTTTTAAATAACCCTAAAAAATATTCATATATGTTTAAACCTAGAAAATTGTAGCCCTATTAAAACATTTTTATTACTCTTATTGGTAATATTATACGGAGTATGACAACATTAGAATGCTTAGAATGTTTGAGAAGATTTATTCTAATATAAATGGAGTTCAAAAATTTAGGAAGAACTCTTTTTAAGATGTTTACAATTGAGCTGAAATTTCATGTATGGTCTGATTTGATATGACCAGATCCAATTTGTTTATTGAGAAAATTTTACACAATTAATGTATTAAACTTTGATGAATTCTCATGCCAAAACTTCCATTATTGACAATTGCATCTCAAAAAATTAATTTAATATGGAGTTCTACATTTTAGGGAGGACTCTTTTAAAAACACTTTTAATAGAAATTGCCCTAAATAGGAGTAAAAACGTTTTGAAATTCAGACTTTCATGTTTTTATTTCCTAAATGGGAGTAATTCGGCCCAGTTTGAAAAAAATGTCATGCTCAAAGCCTAGTAATGCCAAACTTGACAGAAATGTATTCCTCTACAGGGAATAAAAAACATTATAGTTCTATTTTGGAATTTCAAAACTTTTTTATATTCCTATTTAGGGAATTTTCTCTACTTTTAAATGAGCGAAAATTTATTGATCTGATCTAATCAAATCTGATATGTTTATTGAGAAAATATTACACAAATAATGTTTACAATTGAAAATGACATAGTTAATTCTAATTTATTGTAACGTAAAATGTTTAGCAAGTCTTAGAAAGCTTTTCTAATTACGTAGCTTTAGAATAGGATATGGGAATTATGTAGGATAAATGATTGCTAATGTTTGAGTTCTAATCCAACTTAAATATTCTTTTCAAAAAAATCCAACCTAAAACGATAAAAAAAATCCAACCTAAATATAATTGTAACGATGTGTTAATGAAATATTATTAAAATATACGGATTACCAAATTGGATAGGAAATATAGAATATTACTCCGTATAATGAATGTATGCTTAGAAGATGACACATGACAAAAAACAAAATAAAAGGGAAGGTAAAAATAGGACATACTCAATAAATTAAAATTTGCATTATAAACCAATGTTATAATTGACTAAATAAGTGATTTTCTGTTAGTAAAACTAAAAAGTAAAATCATTCTATCCCGTGCTCGCCACAGAAAAAAATATATCAACTTCATAATTTTTATTATCTTTCATATGACACCAATATTGAATATATACAAATACAAAATGATTTTAAAGTGCTAATTTATTATTATCATTTAAAAATAAATATTTTTTTTAAAACTGTTAAATTATTTTTGAAAATAGATATGTAAAAACTGTTAAATTATTTTTTTATTTTTATATATTCAATATTGGTCTCATATGAAAGATAATAAAAAGTTATAAATTATGGTATATTTTTTGTAATCATAAAAGTACAAATTAAAAAATTATATAACTTTAAAATGAATATGAGATTTTATTTTTTGAATTACCTAGCTTTAAGAGGTTTTCTAAATTAACGTTAAATGAGTTCTAATCTACCTTTAACACTAATTAACGGAAGTATAATTGATTTACTAAATTGGAAAGAAGATCTAAAATATTATAATCAAAGTTTCCTTAGAAGGTGACACATGGCAAAACTTTCCATAATTGTATCTTTGAAATATTTTATCTATAGATTACTATAAATACACAACATTTATCCACAATACATGTCTCCGTGAAACTCGAGTATACAACTCACATGTATTACTCGAAAAGCATACCCATGTCTCAGGATGTTTTCTTTTGGACTGTTTTCAGTCCCAGACCAGACCAGACCAGACCAGACATAAACAGACCAGACCAGACCAGACTTAAACAGACCAGACCAGACCAGACCTGGACAGTTATAAAATACAAAGAGACCAGACGTTTACCAGACCAAACCAGACCAGTTCAGAACAGACCAGACCAGACTTAAACAGACCAGACCAGACCAGATCAGACCAGACCAGACCAGATCAGCAAATTTCAGTCCAAAAGAAAACATCCTCAGTGTATTTGGAACCCGAAAAGTCCTGAAATATACCTTTCGAGTAATATTTCATATAATGTGTTTATATGGTATCTTTATCAGGGTATGTATAGACAACCCTGATAAAGACATCATAAAATACGACATAAAGTGGACAACAAAATTCAACATATTATGTGCTTATAGGACAATAAATTGTTATAGTCTATGGATTTGGGTTTTCATATGGATTTAAATGTAGGAGTTAATATAATTTATCAATGTAACATTTCTCCTTCAAAGATTTATGATTTTCAATTTATATCATTTCAGTGTTTTCTCATCACTGACTTAGTATTTGGACATTATATTATGAGTGTGACAACTAAAAATACATGTCTATAGATTGTGTATACATAGTGTGTACACTCGAAATATAGTGACTATCATAATTGCACTTCAATTGGGTTATCCATCTAGGTATTTGTGCAACTCATGTACACTATAGTAAAGTGTATAACTTCAGTGTTATACACCCGAAATAGGCCAATGCAACCTGAAAACTCTGAAGACATGTATCTTTCTTTCTATACATAATTTGGACTTGAGTCCTGAAGGACAAATGTGTATTTATGATATAGGAACCCAATGCAACTCGATAATCCACTTTTCGTTGTCGTATGCACAATCTAGGCCAATGTCCGTTACTCGGTTGATTTAGTAAACCCGAAAACACTGAAGACATGTATCTTTCATTCTTACCCAATCAACTTCTAATAGATAATGTATTACTATACTAATTGTGATACATAATAGAATACACATAAATTTCTTAGAAGGGTATACAATCTCCGAGAAACCACATTTATGTACTGTGATATCAGTGTATAACAATGTTGAGTGCATATAGGAATAAACCCGAAAATTCACCGTAAACACTGGAATAAATATAAGTGTATTGAGTCCTGAAGGAGAAATGTGTATTTATGATATAGGAACCCTATATGTATCACGTTGATATCATATAAGAAAAGTTATAATTTAGGTATGCACGTAAATACATGTACTTATTGGGTTCCTATAAATAATATGTGAATAGGAGTTACTTGTATCTTACACATTTCTCCATAATATACTCGGCATATAAATACACTCATAAATTATTGAGTTATACATTATCAACTTCCCCAATATAATGCATATATATGTATTGACATTGTTATATTCAATGTATCTTTATTTCTATACTCTGATGTCATAGTGGATAAATACATATTTTTGAAATACATGTCTAATTTATGCCAGAATGGAGATTTAATCGGAGATCATTATTATACAATCTCACAATATACATGGCCAATACACATTATCCGAACAATCATATATCACAGTTCATATATTTTGTTGGGATCCCTCCTTAATTAGAGAGGTTCTAGAAAATTCTAGAGCTTTCTAGAGAAGTATAGAATTTTCTAGAACGTTCTGGAGAATCCTAGAGAAGTCTAGAACTCTCTAGAAGCTTGTGGAATAGTGTGGAATCCTCTAGAATATTCTAGAGATGTGTGGAACCTTCCGGAAGCCTATGGAAGAGTATGGAAGAATATAGAAGAGAATGGAGAGGTGTAGAGATTCCTTGGAATTCTCTAGAATAGGTAGTCATGTGTAGATCATTCTAGAGAACTACTCTCCACCACTCATTATGGAGGTGGAGTTATATAAATAGGAGTAGGAGCCTCCATTCCTAACCATCCTAGCCAAGAGTGAATCCACTTCTAGAGTGAGAAAGTTAGAGAGCCTCTTTGAGAGAGAAGAGAGATAGCTTGGGAAGTCATCATCCTCAAGCTTGAGTGAGCCACCATTGAGTGAGACAATTTTGTAACATCCTTGTAAATCATACTATTCTTTTGTATAGTCGAAGAATCTCCATATTGGAGAATTTAAATCGTGTGCTCCCATTGCTACCTAATTTCCTAAGTGCCTAACTTAATTTCACGAAGCAGGAAAGTCCGGAGTTTTCCCCAACAGTGGTATCAGAGCCAGGTTCACCTGAAATCGTCATTAGCTCGTACAGTTCAAGATGGAGGATAACGTCGCTCATGATGGAGACATGTTCAAGCTCACCACCAACAACTACTCATATTGGAAGCCGATGATGGAAGATCATTTATATTGCAAGGATTTGCATGAGCCCATCATCTACAAAGAGAAGGTTGAGGGAAAGAGTGATGCCCAATGGGAGCTACTCAATCGCAAGGCCGTTGCTATGATCCGTAAGTACATAGACAAATCTCTCTTCGAGCATGTTTCTACTTACACAAATGCTTATGAATTATGGACTAAGCTTGAGTCCATGATTCAAAAGAAGACACCTCGTAATAAGGCCAATTTAGTTCGACGGTTGGTGAAGTTGGAGTATAAGGATGGTCATAGTATGATTGAACACCTTAACAATTTCAAGGGACTCGTAAATCAATTAACCAAAATTGAGATGAAGATTGATGACGATTTGCAAGCCCTTCTACTCCTGAGTTCCTTTCCGGAAAGTTGGGACACACTTTTGGTTACGCTTAGTCACTCAGCTCCGGAAGGAAAGCTAACCATGGATACCGTCAGTGATAGTCTTCTTGGAGAAGAAGCAAGGAGAATGGAACGAGGTGAGTCTATGCATCCCGAGGCCAATGTTATTGAGAACCGGGGTAGGAATGAGACTCGTGAACGTAGTAAAAGCCGAGATCCACATCAATCTCGAGGAAGGTCCAAGTCACGCTCGAAGATCACATGCTACTACTGTGGAAGGATGGGCCACAAGAAAATGGAGTGTCGATCCCTCAAGAGAGACCAAAAGGCCGGTAACGTCAAACCAGACCAAGTCAGCCCAACGAAGAAGGAAGAAGAGAAGAGTACCACTGCCGTAGTCGCAAAAGAAGACCTGTTATACCTCGTTGGAGAAGGTAATATCCTCAACATTGCTTGTGATGATAGTTCTTGGATTATCGATTCTGGTGCTTCCTTCCATGTCACTCCCCATGGAAGTTTCATCTCATCCTACCAAAGCGGTGACTTTGGCATGGTTCAAATGGGAAACCAAGATAGAAGCAAGATCGTTGGGATAGGAGACATCGTCCTAACAACTAGCATCAGATGTAAGCTTGTTCTCAAAGAAGTGAGACATGTCCCGGCCATGCGCCTCAATCTTATCTCTGCTGGAAAGTTAGATGATGATGGTCTGATGAACTACTTTGGTGAAGGAAAATGGAAGCTCACCAAAGGAAGTCTGGTCATGGCTCGAGGAAAGAAGGAAGGGTCATTGTACGTGATGCAAGCCAAGCTCTGCAAAGGGGAAGTAAATATAACCACTGATGACATGGAGGTATGGCACAAATGACTTGGACACATCGGTGAGAAGGGACTCCACATACTAGCTCGGAAGCAACTACTCCCGGATGTGAAAGGTAAGTCACTTGATCCTTGTGCACACTGTTTAGCTGGAAAACAACACAGTGTTGCTTTCCAAATATCTTCTCCCACTACTAGAAAAATGGTTTTTAACAATGAAAAATATGGTCGTTATAAGTTCAAAAGTTTGTTGTTAAAGCTTTTAACGACGACTTTTTTTTTGTCGTCAAGTGGTTGTTATAGCTTCCCTCGTTATTGGTTTTAACGAAAAAGTTCGTCGTTAATAATTAACGACGATACAAGATGTCATCGTTACTTATTAACGACAATACAAGATGTTGTCGTCACTCAGTCACTTATTAACGACAAAATATTCACTTGTTGTTACACTTTAACGACATCAAAAATTTTCATTGCCGTATTATAACAAGATATTTAACCGTCATTAATCTTATATATCGAATCATATATGGCAATGCTTTCATAACAATAACCAACTTACATACAAACCCACTTAAACCCACTTATATGCCAAGTCTTCAAAATTTTATTATATCAGTACTCCATATAATATACTTTTCATTGATTATAATTACATGAAATAAATGCAGAACTTGTATATTCAATAACATATAACAAACTTCTAAACTTCCAATAAATTCCACAATCAACAAATAAATAATCTTTTACATGTAACAATGTTAGTAAGTTGACAAAATATAATAATCATCCATCCTCATAAACAAAATAAAATCTCCATACTTAATTGTTAAACAATATATAGCTGAAGAACTATACAGTAAAGTGAATACCAAGTCACAAAGTAATCATTCGACGGCACTGCTCCAATTTCTCATCTTTCAATACCTACAAAAATTAAAACAGAATTCAGATTTCCTTATAAAATGATAAATATTTTTTCTCAAAAAAGAAGATATATAGACACATTGTAATCTGTCTCTTTCTCCCCCTTATTGAAACTGTCTTACTAAGAGAAGTAGAGAACTAAAGCTCCACTAAGAAGAATAGTTTGAAAGTGTGAACATTGAAATATGAGAACTTACTGAATCCGGAACATGCTTAGCCAAATGTAACTGAATGTCATAAAGGTCTGCTTAACAATCCAAAACTAGCATTCTACTTCATTACCATCAAGTTGCTGTATAGATTTTCAGTCAAAATTAAACGTCAAAACTTCTCAACATGATCAGTTCCACCGAGTGCTAACTTCTAATCAAATTTAAAAAGCACATAAGAACATATGATACATAAGGCTCAGATCTGCAATAATAACACTCTGCAAAATAAGCTCATAAGAAAAAATAGCAAATCAATGGAGAAAACATCAGGCTCTACCACGAATTTGGACCATAGAGTACCTTGAAGCATTTACAGGAAACTTTGTCGTCTCTATAATTATTTACTACAAGGATTGCTGAAATAGCTGGAGCCTAGGAGTTTGACATTTGGAACCTTGCAAAAGACCATGTGCACGAAACCAATGGTGTTACTGCATTTCTGGCAAAAGGGGTGTGATATATTCATTATATTGAGTTTGCAGCTTGATACAATGTATAACACTTAGGGTAACAATTGAGAATAGAATCGTGAAATACTGAGTTCAAAACAACTCAAACAATAATTTAATCAAGTAAAATCAAGTAAACTAATTTAAATCAATAAGAGTTAAGTTACAAATTACTTAATGACAAGTTAATGATATACTTCGTGTTAAATTTCTCAAACTTTAAAAACTGAAAAATAACTAATTAAATGTATGAATCATTATTTAATAACTAGTTAATTAAGTTAAATAACTGCAAGCTAGGCAACAAAAATACATAATAGCAAAGGGTGTTTAATAACAAAGGACTTACATAATCTGGTTGACTGGCTGGCCAAGTCTGAAGGCAGAGGAGTAGATGACAGGAGTGAAAGCTCAAGCGCAGACCCAAATCAGCGACATTCTGTTTCTGATTCACAGTCGCTTACGGCTCACCTGCTAAAAGTCCACTTTCCCAGCATCGCTGCTGATTTCCAAAAGTCCGTAATGCCAATCCTAAGTCACTACTTCAGCCCTCACACCCTTGCCCGCCCTTCTCCGCCCTTCCAAATTCAGAGCTTCACTTTCGGCATTTGAGCTGGAGAACATAAATTAGTTTATTATTAAGCCAGGCAAATCAATGAAGCAAATCACCCAAGCACATAAACCAATCAAAACACCTAATCATATTTAAATATCTTTTAAATATAATAATCATTGTAAATTGACACAATATAATAATCATCCACATAAGTAAAATCAAATCTCAATATTTATTGTAACATGTACACATATCATCAACTATATGAAAAAGTGAATGCAAAATCACATATAAAGTAGCAACTCTACGATACTGATGGAACTTCCCATCTTTAAATAACTGCAAATCCTGCAGTAAAGAGCATAGAACTCAGATTTTCTAACGAAGTGATAAGTACTTGAAAAAAAATGAGTGTAAAATTACATTTTGACTGCACCATTCAAAAACAGTACTTGCACTGCTAGGCAGAAATAGAAAAATGGGAAAGTTTACCTCAACGTTAGAAAGTGAAGGATCTTTTTCCGTTATCTCTCAAATTTCTTCCTGTAAAAAAGGATCACAAGAAATCAAAACTCAAGCAGAAAATTAAAATTTTATAAATTTCTTCCGCATGTATATCTAGATACCTGTGTGTAATAGATTAGTCTGCAAACCAATAACTCATCCTGTCAATCTTCTTCTAGCCTGTCATCTTATATATATCCTCTAACCTTGCATATGGTGTCAATCTGCTACAAGTAATGCACTGCTATTCTCGACTCACATTTCTTTTCTTAATTAAACTCATTTTGTGCATGGAACATACAAATCAAAAAATAAGAGTGCTGGACTAAGGTTTCTTCATAATTTTCCATTAATGCAGTTAGAAGGAAACACTGTGATCATCAAACACTAGTTAGAAAGAAGTTAATCAAACTGTAACACATTACCATTTACGAATTGGATCTTGGGGAAAATTCGGATCAAACTCGAGTTCATGAACATCATCAAACATGCTTCTTGTCACTTCTTTTCAATCAGAACATTATTTTTTGAATTACCAAAGCCAACCCTGCCACAATAAGAACATTTGGTTCAAATATTAAATAATAAAAGTAATGGTAGTTGAAAAAAGTCAAAAACAACTAATAAATGCCAAACACTTACCATTTGAATCTTATTGAGCTCTTGGATGCAACTGTATTTCATCATCACCAACATCATCCAACATGTTTCTTCCTCTTTTTTTTTTTCAATCCAGCTACTCTTTTGAGAAATAAAAGAGCTGTCACATTCAATATGAGAATTTTCATCTCAACTGTTATAATAAAAATAACTAATAAAACGATTGTTGAAAACATACCTTTTCCATTTGTTTCTATTAAAATTTTCCAATGTAACTCTTAATTGATTCTTGGTAACATCATCAATAACATTTCTATCTCTCTTTATTTTTCAAATGCAATATTCATCTTAGAAATACAAGAGCCACGTCTATAAACTATGAAAATTTTGAATTAAAATTTTGAAATATTAAATGATCAAGTGAAATAAGAATAAATAAAAAAAGATTATTAATTGTCAAACCTTTATCATTTGAATTTACTAGAACCTTGAAATGTAGATCTACTTCAGTTCCATTAACATCTTGAGATGTGTTTTCACCAACCTAAAAGAACTGACTTATAAGGAGATCATTCCCAATTTTACATCCCTTTGCCAACATTTGAAGTGGTACACAAGACCTTTTAAATCTTGGCATAGAAGGCTTATATGTATTGTGGTTAAGATGAAACATTTCCCTCTATGTTAGGGAAAGATCTATTATATTCATTCCTTTAAAAGGTAGTAAGACAAACCAATACAAATGTCAATCAAAAGTAGTTATTGGTCAATGATTTAGACTCAAATAAAACCAATTACAGATTTTAAGCAGACACCACATAAAGGTTATTAGTTAAGTGGATCTTCAAGTTCAAACTCCTCAAAGAATAATAGTTGACAAAGTGTGGAGGAAAGAAAAGAAGAATACAATAGGGCAAGTGCTTGAATTTTTAGCTCTAATAATTTAGCCGGGTGTGATAATGGATAAAATAAAAGT